GGTACATGTTCCATGGGGGGACGAACTTCGCCTACTGGAGTGGTGAGTAGGGCCCTGCCCTGGGGAGGGGGAGAACACCGTGGGGCTGTGGGGGGCTTTCCTTGGCCATCCTTGAGGAGCCTGCTTCAGGCTCCTGTTCCGTCCCACGGGGCAGGCTGACACATAGCAAAGGGCCCCTGAACCCAAGCTTGTCACGCCCTGGGGACTCCTTTTGTCCCCAGGCAGGGGCTCCCAGTTCAGGGTCATGCGTCCCCTGTTGCATTGCAGCCTGCTTGGGGCTGGGTTCCATGCCCTGGGCTCTGCCAGAGCCCCTTCCTCCAGCTCCCATTGCTTCCCCGGCCAGGTGCTGACTTTAAGGACCAGTACAAACCAGTGACCACCAGCTACGACTATGATGCCCCACTCTCAGAGGCGGGAGACCCCACTGAGAAGCTGTTTGCCATTCGCACGGTCATCAGCAAGGTACTGAGCCAGGCAGGAGGAGGGGGACAGTACTGAGCACCTCTGCCTGTGCCAGGGAAGAGTGGGACACAGTGGGTCCTGGCAGGGCAGGGGACATCTCCCTGCTTGCCCCAGGGGCAGCTGACAGTTTGGTGTTCAGTTCCAGACCCTGCCAGTTGGTCCGATGCCACCCGCCACTCCCAAGTATGCCTATGGCTGGGTGGCCCTGCGGAAGGTGAGTGCCTGCCTCGAGGGCTGTGCTGTCCCTGCCTGGCACTGCCCGGCTGCCCAGCACCCATCCCTCTCTGCAGTATGCTGACCTCCTGGATGTCTTGGATGTGCTGTGCCCCTCCGGGCCCATCCAGAGCCAGTTCCCCCTCACCTTTGAGGCCATAAAGCAGGTGAGGGGCTGGGTGCAGTGGGAGACACTGGATGAGATGCTCCTGGGCTTGTCTGCCCTGCCCTGGCTCTGGGTGGAGGAGAAGAGCTTGTCTCCAGCCCCGTTTCCCTTTCTGTGCTGCTCCACTGCATCCTGCAGCCCCATGGCTTTGTGCTGTACCGCACACACCTGCCCCGGGACCTCCTGGACCCAGCCACGCTGGGCGCTGCCCCCCACAGCATCTGCGACCGTGGCTACGTGATGCTGCAGAAGGTGAGGCTGTGGGAGCACACCCATCCCTGACCCAGCGCTCGGGAAGGCTGTGGGACCTGCCAGCAGTGGGGCTGTGCCACGCCAGGGTCTCGGGGACAGCCAAGATGCCAAGAGTCACACTGAGCCCTTGTGGGGTAGCCCTCTGGCCCAAATTTGCCTCCTTTGGAGGTGGAGGGCAGCCCTGGGCTGGCTGTGGCGGGGGCAGGCAGCAGGATGCTACACGGGCAGGCTGCTGGCAGCGTTCGGGGTGGTGGGATCTGGGCATGGAGCGGCAGCACTGGCTCTGTGGCTGCAGGAGCACTGGGGGACGCTGGAGCGGGATGGGCAGACAACGCTGCGTGTGACGGGCAGGGCAGGGGACACCCTGGACGTGCTCCTGGAGAACATGGGCAGGATCAGCTTCGGGGCCAACATCAGTGACTTCAAGGTGAGTGGAAAAGGTCTTAGGGCTCTGGAGGGGATGGCCTGGCCACCCATGTGGCCAAACTCCCTCTCCTGCCCCCGCAACAGACCCCAGCCATGGTGGGGCCACCCCAAGACCTGCTCCCCGGTTAATCTCACACCATCCCCTGGCAAACCTGCCAGGACCAAGGTAAGGCTGGGAGATCAGCACCCCTTTCTCCATTTCAGCTGCCATGGCAGGCCAGG